AGGTAGTTAAGATTTTTTTTAATTATATTTAATGATAAAATCTTTACTGAAATTGGGTAAAATTCTTAATATTAGATCAAAACATTCCTACAATGAATGTAACTGTTGTTAGTGATAAAACTGACGAATGTAAAAATTTCGATAAAAATTTTCACAATATTATTGAAGTTAAAGGAAATTCTTGTAAACTTAATACTGGAATGATAGTATTTAGTTGTTTATTTGCTATAAATATTCAAGATTTTATATCAGGAGAAATTTCATTATCTCTAAATAATAATGCTTGCTTGCAGACTGATATAGATTTTGCAATTTTTCTTGGACCTAGTTATAAAGATTCAATACAACTTTTTTGTTTCTAATTTAAATAATGTTTTTATTATTTTCTTGCAGAATATTTTAAGATATGTAATAGATATTTAATGGGTTTGTTTTAGATATCATGAAAAATCATGATTCATGATTTTTTATGATGTCTACGGTGTTACTATCGTAACTGCACTTCGTTTAAACAATTATTCTATATATTACATTTATACCTTTATTTCCATAATTAGCTATTAATATGTATACTTACCCATTTCTATATATAGTTTAGTTCCTTAATTATTTGTCTTTATTCGTAAGACCTTTTGTAGTCCTAATTTAGTATTCGATAATCCATAGCTTGTATTTCTAAATTAGTCTCGGGTTATAGTTTTTTGTGTTGTTTAGATCTTTGACCTACGTGTTGGTTATTGTTGAGGGATTGATAGAATAAGATGGAATGTCTTCTGTATCGTAGTTATTAAAAAGGAAATCTATTCTAATGTAAAAGCATTATTACACCAAATTATCATGTATGTAACCCCCCTCCTCGAGACTCTTATCTGTTCCTTTAAGTGTTATTGAATGTTATCTTAATAATTCTTTTTTATAATAAAGACTTTCTTTGTGATCCTTTATCTATATCGTACAGAGACTGTTGATTAGTTCCTTTCTCGTATCTCTCTTCTCTTATCTTGATACCTTCTACTATCTTCACCTTACATCTACTATAAACTTTATCTCTGCGCAACTCTACTCTATATCTTATCTACTTATACTATATCTCTATCTTTCTATTGCTAAGTGCCTCTATCTACGTTCTCGCTAGTTTATACACGTGTCTTCTATTGATTACCTATTTATTATATTTACTATCCTGACTAAACTTGGCTTTGATTATTATTAGCTCTCCCATTCGATAGTAACAACGGCAATACCATTATGGCGCAATAAAGTGTGACATCTGCAGATCACGATGTCATATGAAATTACAAAAAATCAGCGGATTTTAGCAGATTTTTTGATTCTCCGACAATTTTAAAGATTTTAAACAATATATACAAATTGTTTATTGAAATATATAATTAATATAAAATCTAAATCTCCGAAATTTCCAACTACCATCATCACAAAAATCACAGTGTAACACTTTATTGCAAAGCGCCATAATTTGAAATAAACATCTTGATTATTTCATCTGAAATCAGACGCTGAGTCACTAATTTTGAAACCCCAATTATCTTTTTTTTTTTTAATTTCAATAAAGTGGAAACATATTATGAAAACTTTAAACCACAATCTAAACCGAAATCAAGCAAAGGTCATGGAAGTATGGACATTGAAGCATCAAATGTTGTTGATGAGGTCTTAAGATTTGAGAACGATAATAATTAGCTTTAAAAAAACTATACAATGTAATCTATATGCTAATGCTAGTGTTCTATACAATATACTGTATATGTTAAATGCTAATTTTAATTTAATATAAAAAAATAATGCTCAAATAAATTTATATTTCTAAGTTCATGATTTTATCGCATATATCAGAAGTTTATCAGTTTATATTTTGAAAGTTATTACATTTTAACATCAGCTTCAACAATATAAGCCTATAACGTGCTAGTTTATATTTTTATTAAATTTTATTACGAGTATAGATCATCATTGACTACAGAATTTTGCAAACCGTGATAAACTATGTTTATAGTAAATCTTCAAAATATTTGGCTTGAGAATCACAGTAATGAAGATTGTTTCTGCCACGACTAAATCACTTTTATATTAACTTGGGTTGACTTTTTATCAAGTAAAGATTGAAAAAGGCATGTACAGTACAATATAAATTAATAAATTGCAGAATTTAATATGATGATGTGTAATTTATATTTAGTTCTAGCATTTAATTTTTTAATTAATAATAAATTTCACGATTTTGATTGGTTAAAGGTAACAGGTGACTATCAGGTAATCTCGTGATGTGTTGGCCTCGTTTAATTTTTCTTTTACATTATCTTGATTTTTTATTATGCAAATCGATTTTCATTTATAATTGAAAAATGTCAATCATGTCAAAATTTATATGAATCTAATAAAAACTCATTTTTCGAAAAATTGCAAAAAAGGGCTGTTTTAATATATAACACTCCATATAGTATATTTTTTATAGAAATTATCATATCAATAAATATTTAACTGGATGACATTACAGAAATTTCTAGATCAGTGTTTTTTTTAAAAAAATTGTCGTGTGTAAAAAAAAAAACTTTATGCAAAAAAGAGTTTAAAAAGAAAATGTAAGTGAAAAAACCCCAGGACGTTAAGCTCCAGGGATATTTATGGCGCTTTGCAGTAAAGCGTGACACTGAGATTTTGTGATTATGGTAGTTGGAAACTTCGGAGATTTAGATTTTATATTAATTATATATTTCAATAAACAATTGTATATATTGTTTAAAATTTTTAAAATTGTCGGAGAATCAAAAAATCTGCTGATTTTTTGTAATTTCACATGACATCGTGATCTGCAGATGTCACACTTTATTGAAAAGTGAGATATCTACGATTTCTATTTTCTTTAACAAAGTTTATAAATTTCATAGCCGGTTGTTCTTATTTAACCTTCAGATTTCGGATTTTAAAAACGATTTTAAGATTTTTTTAAATTCCCACTTATTTTCAAAGTTATTGCGCTTTGCAAAAAGGTGTGACCTTGCAGATCATGATGTCATGTGAAAATCACGGGAAATTAGGTGATTTTCCGAATTTTACAGAATTTTACAGATTTTAGACAATACGTATCGGTATATACTAAAATATTTGATCAATAGAAAATTTAGAATCACAGAAGTTTTCCTCTATCATCACAAAGAAAATCACAGGGTCACACCTTTTTGCAAACCGCAATAATAATAATAAATAAGTAGTGCATTTTAAAATTGAATAGGATTTTTTAAATTTAGTATTTTACTATAATTAACATAAATCTGAAAAATAAAATAAGGTTCTCTGATTTTAACTTTAAAACCCCTAATTTTGAACCACCCTAATGTAAGATCTGCTATATCTTTGATATTAAGAGAAACTACAAATGTACTCGAAGAGTAAAATCATAAATTAGAATATGTTGACTCATAATACATATAAGAAATGACTTGTTAAATTCATTTGCTTCGATGTTAGTTCTAGTTCTATTGTCGTACTGGAAAACAGCAAGTCAGTCACTCAATCTTAAGAATCTTTATGTAATAGATTGATAACTTATCGAAAGAAGGTGTAGTGATTCAGCAAAGGGAATTCCAAGGCTTTGGTTATCGTTCTGGACTCTGGTCATGTGGCTAGTCTTCTTAATGTTCTTGAGTTTCTACCTTCTATTAATCTATTCAAACTGACCTATCCTCTCTCTTAAGATAGTCAAACACAAGATTTATTGTGCAAGTTCTCTTTACTCAATGTTATTATGACAGTTACTCTTATCCGAAGAGTAAATCAGGTAGTGTAATGTTATCACAATGATTAGTTTTTCAATTAGCAAAAGCGGGGTGGAATATTAGCGATTTAGATGAAGAAAAGTTTGGGACTTGATTTTTGTACAGATGAAGTTTATCGGCAATGTGATGTTTTTTATTGAAGGCAAAAATGCCCGCTTATATAGATATTGGAACAATAGGTTTGGCGATAAGTCTTTTAATACTTATCGCTCCTAAAACCCCTTTAATACATATAACGAATATAATTAATAAACCCACTATATTAGATAAATGTCCTATAATGTTTATCCCTCTTATAATCATTATATACCCGATAACCCTTAAATATCTTAAAACCCCTTTAACCCTTATCGTTATAAAGAGATTTAACCATTATAACCACGGGATCCCTATAAAAGTTAAGGATCTACTTAGCCGTGAAATTGAGCTGCGGCAAGTTATATGAGCTCAAATTTCCCCATGTGACACTATATAATAAGGTAAGCCTGCTTAAAATTTTTAATTATAAACGTGCATGCATTACTTTCCAAATCGAGATTAACAACTAATTTGATGCACTACAGATAAATGAATAAATTTTACATTTTCTATTTATCAAGTTGTCTCATATCTTTGATACTTGCACGTCCCAGATTCTCTTTTTTTTTTTTTGACTTCACGCATCTTGTTTTTGAGCTTTTTTGGCTTTGCACATCATTCTTTTTTGGATGGCCGCTTCTTTTTTATGTTTCTTTTTATTTATAAATTACTAGCGTAATATGCTAAGTAATTTTGTAGATTACAATTACGCAATTGCTAATTTCAGCATATCATATAATATCATTTGAATCTCTCAGTTAGCCAATAAAATTATTAAGAGTTTTAATTAACTAACGCTAAGTAAGGATCGTTTTTTAGAACCGAGACCAGACCAAATACATTAACGGACTGGTCTTATCAGGGACTAGGACGGACTAACCCATCCCTAGTAATAAATAATTGGCCGAATATTATAAAATATGACGAACTTGTTATCAAATTATTAGCGTTAGTACTTTTTTTTTTTTGATTATGAAGTTTTTACAAACACAGTTAGTTCGAAAAAATATTAAATAAGTTACTTTGCGCCGATCAAGAGAAAAACCTGTATCACGCAAAATCCAGTTAGTACATCCTCAAAATAGGTATCCTATACTATGGACGTGAAAGCTACAGTACGTGATGGTTTATTTGCATTCACATCCTCGCTGCGCCTCTTGTATAATCCAATAAGCGTTAAGATTTTGCGGACACTTCGTGAAATTTTCAATATCACATCGTTCCTGGTATAAATATTACCCCCCCTTAAGTTACTTTAAAAGAATATAGTGGTGTGAATTTGATGCGACTAGATAGCTCACACCATATACAGAGAGTTAACATCATAGTCTTTGATCTTGAAACGTTTAATATGAAAATTTTCAGTGGTTATCTTCGTCGGTCCGAAACGAAGGCTCTTCAATTTTTTAAAATTGTTTTTATATGTATTACCTATACTTGCGTGCTTATTTATATGTTTTGGAAGCTATACGAATTAAGTAAAGCGGATAAAATGATAATTTACTCACGAGAAAGATTACCAAGTATTCCGATGCCAAGTATAAAATTGCTTTTTTTATAAAAGATATTTTCTGCTTCAAGAGATATATTCTAAAATGTTTTAATTTTTTAATAGATTTATATTTTGTCTCTGATGTTAATTTTACTATGAACTGTGATTATACTTATGCAGGTGAATATAATACAATTTGAAAAACATATTAAAGATTTCTATTCAACTAATCTCTAATTCAACCTTTGAGAAATCGCATATAACGGCAGTCAATCGGATTGTACTCAAAAAATAAAATATAGCTATAATTCGTCAAATCTATTAATCCCTTTTCAAGCAGCCTTCATACCAAACTTATCAGTAAAACCTCAAGTACTCCATAATATATCTTATAATATATCTGGTGACCATTATAACGGTTATCACTTAAACGAACTGGGATCACTTAGTATGACTGGTGTTGAATTTTACATAAATCAAACTGGTTCTGGTCTCATCTATCTTTTGGCTTTTGATCCAGGCAGGCTTTTTTTTTTTCTTCTACTACTTGCAACTTGCAACAAATCAACTAACCGTAATTAAAAATAATATTTTTGTTTATAGAAATGGATGTATTTAACTATAGCAAAAATTTACCATCTGAAGAATCATCAGACTTTATATACGAACTTCATCTTGTAAATTTGTATATTATTGGACCAGGTGAAGTACGTAAAATTTGAGTTAAGCTATAATTTAAATTTTGATCGTATATTTCTTCATTCATCGAGGAAGTGGCCAAGGGCTCTTAAGGAGGCAAAAAAAAAAAAAAAACTTATCAAGATATTTGTATTATGTAGAAAATTATTTTCAAATATAGCAGGTACATTCGTAAAGTGCTTATTAATGCGTTAGGAAACTTATTCGCAAAACCTCAATATGATCAAATCCCATATATTAATTCAGGTACATCAAGGTGATAGTGAATTCTAACATCTTTATTCTACACTAAATATTCCTTGTTCACATTTAGAGGCTGTCTCTATACTATATAATAGAACGGTTCTCAAAATAATGTGCTTGTCTACTGTAGTTGTAACAGAAGAAGAAAAACTGTAATTTATATTAGAACATTAATATCAATTTTTCGATTTTTATTATTCGGAATTTCTTATATACAAGTTTTTTTATTTATCAATCCAGGGTTTTAACTTTTACTGATGTTTTTGGATTTGTTGGTGGCTTTTTTACATTAGCAACTTTAATTTTTGTGCAACTATTCGGTGGGTTACTGCACTAGGTTATTCTCTTATATAACTTTTAAAATTATGACATGGATAAAATTTTGAATAGGTGAATCTACCAGACGTCCATGGGGCATTGTGCAATCTCTTTACTGCTGTGGTATCAAGCGGAGCATCCAAAATACTCTTTATGATCATCTAAAAGGTCATATTCCATTTGCTGATAAAGGTATTCATTTGGAGTTTCCTCCTGAACGAATTGAAGATCGAATAAATGCAATTGAACAACGGCATAAAGCTTTGGAATTGTTTCTTCAAGATTATGTTATTAATGTTGACTTCCTTTATAATAATGAATATTCAAAGATTAAAAATGTTGAAATATTAAAGAATTAATAATTTTTTTTTTAGTATTTATTTCTTCACATAAGCTGTTATTATAAAAATTACCTAATACTTAACTTTTAAATATTAATTTTAAATCGTCACAAGCACATTCTACACTTTTAATTTTCATTGGTATTTTTTATCTTATTTTTTTAGGTGCTATTTTTCTTTCTAATTATCTCATTTATAAATAAATTATACCAAAAAAGTCTATAAGATAAAGGCAGTATCATTTAATAAAGAGTGTATAGATGTGCGCCTAAATTATTTTTAAAAAAAAGTATTTTCGGCATTGCTACATTTTTTATATGAAACCCTCTGAAATAATTATACTATATGACGTATTTTTATGAAAGAGTTTAGTAGTGATGGGCATGCGCGTGAGATCACGCGCGGATCACGCGCGTAAAATGCGCGTGATTTTTTGGATCCCGCGCGGGATTTTTAATATAGTCCCCAATTCATGCCAGCCGGCCCGCATTAACATAATTTTAAGAAACCTACGATGTAATCCTATCCCGCGCATCACGCGCAGATCACGCGCGTAACCCGCATCCCGCAGGATATTTTGGAAAACCGTGATTTGCCCATCACTACAATTTAGTCTCATGTATTAAAGAGTTCTTGAATCTAATCATAATGTGGTGTAGCAATAAGGCCGTTCAGAGTTGATTAGTTTGTTTACGTCATCCTCCCAAAATTAAACAAGCCAATCATAACACCCGTCGTGCCTGAACCAAAAATATTGAGTTATTCAACTTTTAACTAATTAATCGAATTAGAAATGATTCTCATTTTTGTCTATCGTTATAATCGTTCTCATAAAATCTTACAATATACAATTTAGAATCACAGAGGTTTCGCACTATCATTACGAAGAAAATCACAGGGTCACACCTTTTTGCAAAGCGTTATAATAAATATTCTCTTTGTTTATTTTCAGATAAGAAAACTTAATTATGTTTTGTTCTTAAAATTTGCAAATTGTATCATATTTTTAAAGCTTGAGCGCTTATTTATACTCAGCCATATTATACATGTAGTTTTGGGTAGGGCTGTTAATTGATCCGGTTCAAACCGGCAGACCTTCGATCCATCCAAAGACTGAGCAGGTTCTATTTTTTTTAGGACCGACCGTGGTGACCGTCAGTCTTTATAAATATATATGTTATTAAATTTTTGCTATTATAATATCGCTTTTTTCGATTTAGTTGATTCAATAAATTTTGTGAATCCTATAAATCCTGAATATTACCATTGTTTTAAAAATAGCAACATGCGGGATTCATAGGATTCACAAAATTCATTGAATCAACTAAATTGAAAAGAGCGATAATAAATGCTGAATTTTTGATTCAAAATGGCAAGTTCATGTAGATATTGTTATGAGTTACAATAATATCATATTTTATTTATTTTTTATTTGAAATAAATCACTATTTTATATATTTATAGTTAGTATTATTTTTAATGTATAAATTTAAGCAATATGTTTTTCTAGATTATATATATAATTATCACTCTTTTCGATTTAGTTGATTCAATAAATTTTGTGAATCTTATGAATTCCACATGTTGCTATTGTTAAAACAAAAGTAATATTCAGGATTTATAGGATTCACAAAATTTATTGAATCAACTAAATCAAAAAGAGCAATAAAATAATATTAGTGTAGCATGTAAAAGAACATAGATTTCAAAATATTTATCAAAGATCTGAATTTTCTTAAATTCTTTATAAATATTAATCATATTAGTCATATTGTAATGCAATTTATAAATATAAAACAATGTAAAGATAAGATTATAATTAGAATAAATTGAAATATGTGTGGGAAGTAATAACAAGTTTTCAAATTAATGCTTATCTTATTTGTTTATAAAGATTGTCATTTTTGATATTTAGAACATATTATGATAAAAGTATGATCAAGTAGTTCTTCTTAATATAAAAGTAAATATTTAATTATTACAATTAATTGAAGTGATAAATAAAATACTTTTTGTAATAGTAATTAAAGTTTATAATATTTAAAATTTTCTTTAAATTCATTTAACAAGATATTAGAGAATATCTTAAAACCTGATATAAACTATAACTAAATTATCATTCTTTTTAATTTAGTTAATTTAATAAATTTTGTAAATTCTATAAATTCTTTATGTTGCTATTATTAAAACAATAGTAATATTTAAGATTCATAGAATTCACAAAATTTATTGAATTAACTAAATTAAAAAGAGTAATAATTTGATAACAATTTATATCAGATTTATTTTGTTTAAATATTTGTTTTTTTTAAATTAGCAAAGATAATTTTAAAATACTAAAAGGCATAAATGTTTGTTTTAAAAAGATATAATAATTGTATACTTATATTTGTAATTTTATAAATTTGTATTAATATTTAAACTTGATACAATAAGTAATTATATTAGTAATTTAATAATTTTATAATTTTTATAATGATAATTAAATTACTTACTAAATAAATTATAATAATAATAGTAAAATATCTCCTAACTCTTACTGTAGATCACTTGTACCAAAACTCCCAAAAAACATTTTGTCATAACTAAATATTTTATTAAGCAAACAACCTT